GATATTGAGTGAGTTCTCAACCGGGCGTGGTGGCTCACACCTGTAATCCCAGCACTTTGGGAGGCCGAGGTGGGTGAATCACGAGGTCAGGAGTTTGAGACCAGCCTGACCCACATGGTGAAACCCTGTCTCTACTAAAAATACAAAAATTAGCTGGGCATGGTGGTGGGCACCTGTAATCCCAGCTACTCAACCTGGGAGGCGGAGGGTGCGGAGTGAGCCAAGATCGCACCACTGCACTCCAGCCTGGGAGACAGAGCGAAGCTCTGTCTCAAAAAAAAGTGTGTGGCACTTCCTCCTTCCCTCACTCTCTCTCCTGCCGCCATGTGAAGAAGGTGCTTGCTTCTCCTTTGTCTTCCACCGTGACTGCAAGGTTCCTGAGGCCTCCTCCTAGTCATGTTTCCTGGTAAGCCTGTGGAACTGTGAGTCAATTAAACCTCTTTTCTTCATGAAGTACCCAGTCTCAGGTAGTTCTTTATAGCACTGTGAAAATGGACTAACACAAATAATAAACTCAAATTCTTCACAAAACCTCCAGAAAATATGAGCTAACAGAACATTTTCCAACTCATTCTACGATACCAGTATTACCCTGATAATAAAACTAGACAAAGACATCACCAGAAAAGAAATTTATGAACTAGTATCCATTATGAACATAGATGGAAATCCTCAATAAAATACTGGAAAACCAAATTCAGGAACATATAAGACGATTATATATCGCCACCAGGTGGGATTCATCCTAAGAATGCAAGATTGTTTTAACATCTGAAATCAATCAAAGTAATACACTGTATTAATAGAAGAAAGGACAAAACACACAGGACCATCTCAAAATGTGCAGAAAGAACATTTTATAAAATCTAACACGCTGTCATGATACAAACAAAACAATAAACTAAGAATATAAGGGAACCACTTTAACCTGAAAAAGGGTATCTACAAAAAACCCACAGCTAGCATCATATTTACTGGAGAAAGTATGAATGTTTTTATCCTAAAATCAGGAACACAACTAGGATGTCCTCTCTCACTACCTCTATCCAGCATTGTACTGGAGATTCTAGCCAGAGTAATTAGGCAAGAAAAATAAATAAAGCCATCCAGTTTGGAAAAAGAGAAATAAAACCATTTCTATTCTCAGGTGACATGATCTTGTATATACAAAATCTTAAAGAATATACACACACACTATTAGAACTAATAAACAAGTTCAGTAAAGTTTCATGATATAAGGTTGGCATACAAAAATCAGTTTTACTTCTATAGACTAGCAATAAACAATCTGAAAATGTTTCATTTTATTTTGTTTATTTATTTTTTTGGAGACAGGGTCTCACTCCGTTGCCCAGGTTGGAGTGCAGTGGTGCAATCATAGCTCACTGCAGCCTCAAACTCCTGAGCTGAAGCAAACCTTGAACCTCATCCTCCCAAGTAGCTGGGACTACAGGCACTTGCCACCGCACCTAGCTAATTTTTAAATTTATAATGGAGAAGGGATCTCACTATATTGCCCAGGCTGGTCTGAAACTCCTGGCTTCAAGTGATCCTCCCATCTTGGCCTCCCAAACTTCTGGGATTACAGGTGTCAGCCACTGTGCCCACCTGAAAGAGTTTTAGCAAATCCATTTACAGTGGCATCAAAAAGAAGGAAATACTTAGGATTAAGTTTAACAAAAGTAGTACAAGACTTTTATGTGGGAACCTGTAAAACATTGCTGAAAGTAATTAAATAGAATACGTAAATGGAAAGACATCTCATGTTCGTGGATTGAAAGAGTTAATATTGTTAAGATAGCAATGCTCCCCAAATTGATCAATCCCTATCAAAATTCCAGCTGGCTTTTTTGATAGAAATGGACAAACTAATGCTAAGATTCTTATGAAAATACAAGGAACTGGGACTAGCCACAACAATTTTGACAAAGAAAAACAAATTTGGAGGACGTATACTTCCTAATTTCAAAACTGCTAAGATACCATACTCAAGATAGTGTCATGCTGGTATAAGAACAGACATGTAGGTCAATAGAATCGAATTGGGAGTCCAGCTATAAACACACTTACGATCAGCTGATATTCAACAAGGGTGTCAAGACTATTCAATGGAGAAAGAATAGTCTCTTCAAACAAAAGACTGGGGAAACTGGATATCCCCTTGCAAAAGGATGAAGTTGGATCCCATAGTAGTTTCCTCACTGCCATGACAAATTTCTCTAAACCTCATTAGCTTAAGAGCAAAGAAATGTATTGTCACACAGTTCTGAATGCTGGAAGTCTAAAATTAGGGTATCATGACAGGGCCATGCTCTCTCTGAAGGTTCTTGGGGAGGATCCTTCCTTGCCTCCTCCTAGCTTCTGGCTTGGAGATACTTTGCAATCCTTGGTTTGCAGACACTTCGCTCTTATCTCTGCCTCCATTGTCACATGGCATTCTTCCTGTGTATCTCTATGTCCCTGTACATGGTGTTCTTATAAGGACACCAGTCGTTGGATATAGGTGCAATGCTATCTTGTTTACATCTGCAAAAACCCTATTTCCAAGCAAGGTAATATTTACAGGTGTTGGGAGTTGGAATTCGAATATATCTTTTGATGGAAGCACAATTCCACCCACAGCAGGCTCCTACTTCCCACCATGTAAAAACCATCTCAGAATAGATTATAGACCTACATGTAACAGCTTCAACTACAAAACCCTTAGGAGAAACCATAGGTGTAAATTTTTATGACCTTGGATTAAGCAGTGGTTTATTTGATGTGACACCCAAAATGTCAGAAAGAAAAGAAAAATTAGATAAATTGGAGGTTCTCAAAAATAAAACCTTTGTGTTCTAAAGGTACTGTCAAAGAGTAAAAAGAGAACCCTCAGAATGAGAGAATGGAGGAAAATATTTATAAATCATATACCTGATAAGGGACTTTTTATCAATAATATGCAAATAACTCTTACAACTCAACAGTAAAAATGCAAACATACCAATTAAAACTTCAGTCCACAAGTTGCCTAATCCAGGGTCACCAAGATTTATATCAATGTTTTCATCTAAGGGTTTTATAGTTTTAGCTCACACATTTAGGTGTATAATCTATTTTGAGTTCACTTTTTTATATGGTGGGAGGTAGAGATCTGTTGTGGGCAAAGGATTTTAACAGACGTTTCTTCAAAGGTATACAATGGCCAATAAGCCATGAAAAGATGCTCAGTATTCTTAGTCGTTAGGAAAATGCAAACCAAAACAGTAACCTACCACTTCATGTTCACTAATTTGCCTAAAATGTAAAAAGGCAATAACAAGTGTTGATGAGAATATAGAGAAGTTGACGTCCTCATACATTGATGGTGGAATTGTAAAATGGTGCAGCCACTTTGGAAAATAGTTTGGCAGTGTTTCAAAAAGCTAAACAGAAAGTCACCAAACCGCCCTGCCATTCCACTCTAAGATACGTATCCATGAAAAGCCAAAACACGTGTCAACACAAAAACTTGTACAAAAATGTACATAGTAGCATTATTCATAATAGTCAAAAAGTAGAAAGAGCCCAAATGTCGATCAACTGAGGAATGGATAAACAAAATCTGGTTTATCTATATGGTAGAATAGTATGCAACCATAAAAATGAATAAAGTTTTATTTATTCATTTTTAACCTGGGTGAATCTTTAAAATATGCTAAATGAAAGAAACCAGACACAAAAGACTACATATTGTATGATTCCATTTATATAACATGTCTAGAATAGGCAAGTACCCCCCAGCCCCTGGCGACCACTAATCTACTGTCTGTCTGTATGAGTTTCCTTGAATGTTTGGTAGAATTCAACACTTAAGCAATCTGAGGTTGGAGTTTTCTTTGTGGGAATGTTTCTAATTATGAATTCAATTTCTTTAGCAGATATAAAAGCATATCAAATTTTTATTTTTTCTTAGGACAATTTTAATGCATTGTGTTTTTCAATGAATTTATCCATTTTATCTAAATTTTTAAATTATTGGCATAAAGCTGTTGGCAATATCATTAAAGTCTTGGAGATCTGTAGTGATGTCTCCTGGCATGGCTAATTTATGTTTTCTCCTTTCTTTTTCTTGATCCAGCCTGCTAAGTATTTATCAGTTTTATTAATCTTAATCAATGTGTGGCTTTTAAATTTTCTTTGTACATTTGCTTTTGATTTTATTCATTTCTGCCATTATCTTTATTATTTCCTTTAGTTTTCCTTCTCCTTTTTCTAAATATGCTATTTTTTCTTTAGTATATTGAGATTAAAGCATAGATCATTCATTTTCTACCTTTTTACTTTTCTAATGTATTCAGAGTTGTAAATTTTCTTCTAAGAGCTGTGCTAACTGCATCCTACAAATTTTGTATGCTATGTTTTTATTTCCATGAATTTATAATTTCTGTTGTGATTTCTTCTTTGACATATTGAATTATCTAGAAGAATGTGGATTATTTCCAAGGGTTTGGGTTATTTTCTATATATATATATTTTTTTTGGTTATTAGTTTCTAGTTTAGTTTCAATGTAGTCAGAAAACATATTTTATTATTTTAATCATTTGAAATTTGTTGAGATTTATTTATGGCTAGGCATATGGTCTATTTTAGAAAATGTTCCATGTACACTTTAAAAGAGCACATATTATGCAATTGGTGGGCGTGTGTTCTATATATTGTCCATTGGGTGAAGCTGGATAACTGTATGCTTCAAATTTTCTGTAGTGATCTTTTATTCAAAATTGCTACTTAAAAACAGCACATAGTTGAGATTTTGAAAATCCAATCTGACCCTCATCCTTTTGGGCTGTTAATAGCCCTAGCTCACCACATTCTCCCTTCTGGTTCTTCTATAGCCCACCCACACCTTTAAAAACAGTCTCCTTGAAATTAAATCTTCCTCAAATTATCCTAAATTAAGTGTACCATGTGTTTCAAATTGCAGCCTCAACTGGCTCACTGCCTTCTTTATCCCAGCCTCCATTGCAGTGAGGTTGGGGGCCATATGACTACTGCTGACCAATGGACTGTGAACAGAAACGACAGCATCACTCCCATGGAGCCTCCTCCATCTGTCTTCCCTATTGTGACAATCTCAGAGGCTACATTCTTTCCATGGCTGGGCTACATCGTGGTGAAAGGCTGCCCAACCTGGTAAGTACTTACTTTGTGTGAGTAAGAAGGAAACATTGCAAGGGTTGGAGCACTGAGATTCCCGGGTGAATTTGGTATTTCTGAACAGCCAATTTTGCCTTGACTTGGGATCATGCCATATGTCTACGTTGGTACCATGAGTAGAGCTGTTGATGGATGTTTGCCCTGTTTTGCCTTTTTACTCCCTTCCTTCCTTCCTTGGTTCTTTCATTCATTCTTCTTTCTCTCTTTCTTTTCTCTATATTTCTTTGCTTTCTCTCTCTTCCTCTATTTCTTTCTCTATTTTTCTTTCTTTCTCAGTTTAGTTCTCCTGTGTTCCTGTTGATTCCAAGCCCTACAATTTTCTTCCAGTGAATTCCTTTTCTGCTTTATCCAGACAGCCAGAGCGGGTTTCTATTGCTGGCAGCTAAGAAACCCAAATGGTATACTATTTTCCGCTTAACATTATATCATAGACATATTTCCATGCTATTAAATATTATTCAAAATATTATTTTAATGGCTGCACAGTATTTCATCATATTTATGTACCATAACTTATTTAACCATGCCCATGTGTTTTAGTAAATTATAAACTTCTATTAAATACTTACAGTGAATATTATCACATTTACATTTTTGGCTTCAATCCTGGACAGCACCTTAGGACATCTTCAGAGTGAAATTACCAGCTGAATAGTGTGAACATTTTAAAATCTCTTGTGGCATGAAGTTAATTTTTTTCCTAGAAATTTTATACCAACTTGTATTTTCACATGTGAGATGAATAGGAATGCTCAGTTTTACTCCACTCAATAAGATTGAGTGCTATAATTATATTTAAACCTTCTTTGATAAGCTCTAGGAAAAAATCTCATTGATATTTTAATGGGCATTTCTTTGATGACCAATGAAGCTGAATATTTTTAAATATTTTATTACATATTTTTATTTCATCTTCTGAGCATTTCTCATTCACTATTTTTCTATTGGAATGTTCATTCTTATTGATTTGTAATTACTTTTTACATATTAGAGATATTAATCTTTTGTCATATTTCTTGCAACCATTTTATTCTTGTTTGCAGTTTCCCAATGAAATAAACTAATTTTTAAAACAGAGATTTAAATTTTATGTATTAAATTCTACCTTAACCTTTGTTATTTTTTCTACTGCTTTAGGTTTAAAATGTCTTCATGTACCCACAAGATCAAACATTTGTTTGCTTTTTAATGATTTCCCTTTCTTACATTTAATTCTTTAAATCCTCTAGAATTTATATGAATGTATGGTGTGAAGGAAAGAGCTAATTTTATTTCCTTCCAAATAGCTAACCAAATGTCCCGGCATCATTTATTGAATAATCCGTTTCTTCCCTACAGGTTTGCAATGCCACCTCAGTAAGCTGAGATGTGGTAATCGCCATGGCAACGGGTCTGCCTTAAAAGCATTGTGCACACACAGTGAGAGACTAGTGCCTGGCAGAGTTCAGTCTGGTCTCACTGCACATCTTCCCTAATTAAGATGCACCTTTTGGTTTTGTCTTTTTAGGGGAAAAAAAAAAAAAAAACCACAACAAAATGCTCCCTTTATAGCCACGAGGCAGAAGAAAAATTAAGGCCAAGATCCTTTCATGCCCAATACGGGCCTGCTTGGCTGTTGGAGCATGGGGGATCATGGGCAGCAAGTGAGAAAGTGCACAGTGATTTGCCGGTGTTACATCCTGAGAAACTGGAGGAATGTCATCAAAGTCCTTGAATAGCTGGAGAGTGGGTGTGGGATGGTTATGTTTGAAAATGCAGCTCTGATATAAAACAAAGCAAAGACTGCACTGTTTGCCCAGCAAGAGCCTTGCTGGAGACCCTAAGCCTAAGATAGAAGCTTCTGTCATCAACAGGCCACAAAACCCATACTTCCTGCTCTATGAGGCTTCTGAACTTGGTTCCCTGGAATCCTCCCTCTTTATCAGGTATCTGCGTCTAGACCTAGGGGAGACCAGACCGAGGTCTGTCCTTGTCTGCCTACAAGGACAAGGCATTCTACTGCTGTAGACCACTTGTTTATGTGCCTCTAAAATTTGTTTGTTAAAGCCTGAATCCCCAGTGTGATGATATTTGGAGGTGGGACCTTTGAAAGGTGATTAAGTTTAGATGAGCTCATGAGGGTGGGGCCCTCATAAGGGTATTAATGTCCTCATGCGAAGAGACACAACAGAGCTTGCTTCCTCTCTCTCTCCCTACCATGTGAAGACACAGCAAGAGGGCAGCCGTCTGCAAACTAGAAAGAGAGCCCTCACCAGGAACTGGATCTGCTGGCACCTTGATCTTGGACTTCCCAGCCTTTAGAGCTGTGAGAAATGTCACCCTCAGGTCAATGGGATATTTGTTACGGCACCAGGTACTGTCTGAGAACTCCACCTTTAGAGAGGCTCCAGGGAGCCTGTGTGCTGTGTCCCTGAGGAGACAATGAAGGTGTTTGACACTCAGTTTGAATATTGGGTCACGGCAAAGCTGACTGCTGCTGAAGGAGAGATGCCTTCTTATGGCAAACCATAAGAAGCAGCAGAAGTCATGAGCAGGCTGAAGCTATGAGGCCGAGACAAAATGACGCATTGCCACAAAAACAGGGACAAACAGGCAACAGGCAGAGCCCTGGGAATCAGTAATCTCTTGCTACCACTGAGGCCTTGGGACTAACTCAGATCCTGTACTGCTTTCTTGGGGCCTATTCTGATTCCAGTCCCTGTCCTTGGGGTCCCCTAAGATCCCTGTAGCCTTGTAATAAGCCCATATTATCATATTTCCCCTGCTGGCTTCACCCTAGAGCATTTCCAACAATTTCCAGTGCTTTTCCCCTTCTCACACCACCGGGCCTTTGCACATGCTAGTGCCTCCCCAACTAGCCCTGCCTTCTCCTTCACTCACAGAACTCCTACTAAATCTCTCAGACTCCTCAGCTGTGTCCCTTCCTAGGGGAGGACTCTCCTCCCTCCAGTGAGCCTGGCAGTCCTCCCTGGGATCCCCTGCTCCTTGTCTTCCCTGCCGTCCTCACTGCTGTGCTTGTTCTCTACTCAGAAGGAGGCAGAGGCTGGCCTGCCCCCACTCTCCTGTAGACTGACCAGATGAATTGACCTGGGCAGGGCAGGTGTGTTTGACCAATCATCTGGGCACCCCATGGCTCAGTCAAGTCGACACATAAAGTTAACTGCCATAGGGCCCCTTCGTTGTATTTGTCTATGAATAAAAAACGGCATCAACTCCAGGTATCTGAGGGTTCTGGAGGCAGGTTCTGTGATCCCTTTTTACAGATGAGGATGCGGAGGTCCAGTTGTCACTCACCCAGATCACACTCTTATCTGCTGATGGCAGGAGTATTTGCTGGGATGTGTGAGCCCGGCCATCTCCCTCAGGACACATCGGCTCATTAAATTTGCCAGCCCTTGCCTGAAAAAGTATTTAATTTGCCTTTTACAATGCACCGATTGCAAGTTAATTTTGAAAGTTATAGGTGGCATTAGAATTTATTAATAACATTGGAAATAAATCTCCCCAGAATTCAATTAATTGAAAACCTCATGAAATTCTTTTTTTACAATCCATAAAGCCGGTCTGGGAGAGAGGTGTTCCAGGAACCTCGGGAGTGGTTGGAACTGCAGGCGTGGAGGGTTGGAGTGGGGAGGGGGCTTCTGTTCTGATGTAGGCCTGTCTTGGCTCCCACCTGCCCCTGCCTATAACCTCCAACATGGCCTCTTAGGGTTAGGGAAGAAGCCACGTCCCCATCGTTAATGTCCTACCATGTACCAGTGTCAGGGAAGAAGCCACAACCCCATCGTGAATGTCCTACCATGTACCAGTGTCAGGGAAGAAGCCACAACCCCATTGTGAATGTCCCGCCATGTACCAGTGTCCAGGAAGAAGCCACGCCCCCATCATGAATGTCCTGTCATGTGCCAGTGATTCATTTGCAGTGATTCATCTGTTCTGCACCTGGCCTGAGCTGGGGACGCAGACGTGACCTGGCCCACAGGACACTCATAGGTGACTGGAAGAGACAGAGCTGGGAGGGTGTGCTTTGGATTTAGGGAGGTGAGGAGTGAAGCTGGGGGACCCCAATGGCACCTTGACCACCCTTGGCTGAGCCTAAAGCCAGAGTCGGGCTCTTTCTGCCACTCTGGTAGGAGAATTGCCCCTTGTGGGTTTTCAGGACATGCCAGGAATAGGTTAAGAACAGCATGTCTTCGTGTGAACCTCTGAGGTTCAGCCCAACCCAGGCCACTTCCACACTGAGGCCATCATGTCAAGCCCTTGCCAGAGTTACTGACTGATTCGGGGGTCCTGACTTTCTTCTCTGGCTGGTGGCAACTGCCGCGGGGCAGGCAGGGGTGCCTGGCTAGGGACTGAGAAGTTGCTTTCAGGCCCAGATTCTGGGTCCCAAAGCAGGCCTGCCTGCCGGGGATACCCTTGGGCCTCCTACACTAGAAGACGGGAGGCTCCGAGGCAGGGTCCTGTCTGAGCCTGCAGCCTTGCTCCACCCCAGGGCTCAGCTGGGCTGAAGGGATGAGGACAAGAGGGTCCCACAGAGCCAGAGAACTCAGTCACAGTCCAGGGCCTCGGGTGCACCAAGGACTATGGCTCAAATGAGTTCTAGTCCCTAGGAGAGAGGCTTTGGAAGAAAAGGCATTAGCTGGTTGGGTGTGGTGACTCATGCCTGTAATGCCAGCTCTTTGGGAGGCCAAGGCAGGAGGATCACCAGAGGTCAGGAGTTCAAGACCAGCCTGGCTAACATGGTGAAACCTCGTCTCTACTAAAAATACAAAACTTAGCTGGGCGTGGTGGCACACGCCTGTAGTCCCAGCTACTCGGGAGGCTGAGGTAGGAGAATCGCTTGAACCTGGGAGGTGGAGGTTTCAACGAGCCAAGATTGTGCCACTGCACTCCAACATGGGTGACAGAGTGAGACTTGGCCTCAAAACACAAAAACAAAAAAAAAAAAGAGAGAGAAAAGAAAAGGTGTTACTGAAGTGGTGTCAGTCCCTTCCCCACCACACACACCCTGTAGGCACACATGTGCCCAGGTGCGTACACACTGTAGCAGATACGCATACCCACACACACATATTCAAGCACACACACGTGCATATATGTGTATATGCACTGGACATACACACATATTCTCATGCATGTACACTTTTACACATGCACACATGTGCACATATGTGTACACACAAAACACACTCATTCTTATGCATGTGCATTCTCATGTGCACACACATGAACACGCTCATTTTTATGCATGCACACACTTGCATATGCACACACATGTATAGCAGGGGCTAGAGTCAGTTGGCATTTCAGAAGAAATGTCAGGTTTGATCTGGACGCCGGGCCACAGACGGGGTGTGCGCAGGAAGCAGCCGCCGGAGGCAGAGGCACCAGAGCAGAGGAGACAGGCAGGAAATTTGAGACAGCCATGTCTGGGTCAGGCAAAGCGGGGACAGGGTGGAGCAGGGCGGGGCGAGGTGAACAGGGGCCTGCGCTAATTATCCCTCCTTAGTGCCCAGGCAGGTGGCCTCAGACTGGGTGCTCTGGGCACACAGGCAGTGAGGGCTCTAGCCAGCCCTTCCCCAGCTCTGGCTCTCAAAGCTCAGCTGTGAGCCAGGAAGGGACCTGGAGGCTCCTGCCAGGACTGGGCTGACCCTGGTGAGTCCCCTTTCCCCAGGAGGCTGTAGGGAGGGAGGGCAATTTTGGGCAGACGAGGATGACCGCGGTCCAGCCCTGCAGCATCCTAGCTGAGAGCCCAGGATGCTTTGCTTCCTACGCCGAGTCTTGGGCCCTGTGGACAGCTTGGAAGTGCAGGCGGCGGTGTCCACACATGCACACAAGGACCTTTCTGATGCTGGGGAGAGGATCAGATGGGCCTGCCCTGTCTCCTTGGCTGCAGAGGTGAGAGGAGGAGAAGATTTGAGGCGGTCACACAAGGCCAAAGAGCTAGGCTCCCCTTGGGGCTTTGAGGCCCTTCCCCCAACAGCGCTGTCCCTTTTCCTGCAGACACTTAGCGCTGTTTTGTACTGGGGAGCCAGCCTCCACGGCTGGACAGAGATGAGACCAGGCAATGGGCAGACCTCCTGGCTGACTCCTGCGGCTGCAGCCTCTATGTGTGCAGAAGGCGGCCAGGACAGGGACCCAGGTGACAGCACCAGGGGGCAGAGCTCAGGCTTGAGGCCAGGAACAGGGGAGCCACAGCAGATTCATGAGTGAGGGACGAGTGACGCCAGGCTTGCACTTCAGGAAGGTCATTCTACAGCCAGACGGTGCAGAGAGGCCAGACCAAGACCCTGCCTCCTCTGCTGACTCTTAGGGGTCAGTTTCCTCTCCCTCCAGCATCACAGTCCTCCGGGATCCCCGACCTGGCAGCTGCTTCAGTGTCCCGGGAGATTCATTCCACCCTTACCCAAATCTCTCTGCCCTTCATCTGCCCCTAGCCTTTGCTCACACTTGGCCTCTTCGGCAGCACCACCCCTGGGTTTATGTCAACTCTGCTTTTCATTCCAGAACCTCTTTCGGCGGGGCAGAGCATGGCTCCCCGAGTCCCACAGACCTGGTCTGGAACTCAGCTTCACCGCCAACTGCCTGTGTGACCTTGAGGAAGTTACATAACCTCTCTGGGGCTCAGTTGACTCACCTCAGAATGAGAGAGGTGGCTGTGACGTTAAAGGAGGTGACACATTTCACTGTTTAGCACTGGATCTGTCCTCACCATATTAAGGACCAACTCACACCCAGCCCCTTGGGGGAGACCTTCTCCCTCAGCCCTGTCTCAGACCTCCTCTGGGACCCATAGTATCTGCCACCCTGGCTCCATCCAACACACTTCAGGCTGGCCTGTCCACCCTGCTGGCAGGAGCTTGGAAGTTCTTTTTCCCCAGACATTCCTCATACAGCCCTCTCCCCCTCCCCCTAGACTCTGCTGGTCCCATCCCGGCCCTCCTATGGCAGGATCCAGGGACCAGAGGACAAATGAAGGCATCCCATGAGTCTATTTAAAAGTCACACATCGAGGTCGGGCTCAGTGGCTCACACCTGTAATCCCAGCACTTTGGGAGGCTGAGGCGGGTGGATCACCTGAGGTCAGGTGTTCGAGAACAGCCTAGACAACATGGTAAAACTCCATCTCCACTAAAAATACAGGGGAAAAAAAAATAGCTGGGTGTGGTGGCGGGCACCTGTAATCCCAGCTACTCGGGAGGCTGAGGCAGGAGAATTGTTTGAACTGGGAGGCGGAGGTTGCAGTGAGCCGAGATCGCGCCACTGCACTCCAGTCTGGGCGACAGAGAGAGAGAGAGAAAAAAAAGCTATGCATTGAGCTAACCAGCTGTTAAGTAAAACAGGCTCTGTCTTCCTACTTTGACAGGTATTCCCTTCCAAGGACCTGGAAGGCCAGGTTTGACGTTGGAACTGTGACTGTCAGAGTCTCGTGCTGGAAGGTGATGGCCGGGGAGAGTCAGCCCCTGTCGTCCCCCAGCCCTTCTGCTTCCCTCACTAGCTTCCACCTTGCCCCACAGGGGTCTTCTCAGGGTGCACCTGAGGGTGCCCACCTGGAGCGTTTAAGCTCAGTTCACACCTTCCAAACTCAGCAGCCCCTTGGTTGAAAGACAAAGGCGTCAGTGGGCGTGGGGTCTGCCCTTAAGACAGAAGGAAGAAGACCTCGGCGGGGAGAGGGGGCAGCTCTGGGGCAGGACATTTTGGTGTCCTGGGCCATGCAGGCAAGTCTCTGTCTTAGGATCCCATCTCTGCCACTGGGTCTGGGGGAATGAATGCCTGCTGGTCTACTTCCTCGAGGAGAGGAGGTATTTTTTCACCCAAAAAAAATTAAAATAATTTTTAAAAATTAAAAAATGAGACTAATCGTCAGTTCCCAGTCCTCAGCGCTTCCATATTGCTGATCATCTGAACACGGCTAGGCTTCTAACCAATCATCTTACTGGCTTTAAATATATATACACTTATCACCTATTTTGGTTTGGTTTGGTTTGGTTTTTGAGATGGAATCTTGCTCTGTTGCCCAGGCTGGAGTGCAGTGGTGTGATCTCGGCTCACCGCAGCCTTGACCTCCCAAGCTCAAGTGATTCTCCTGCCTCAGCCTCCAAGTGGCTGTGACAACAGGTACATGCCACCACATCTGGCTAAATTTTTTTTTTTTTAGAGATGGGGTCTCACAATGTTGTCCAGGCTGTTTATTACCTATTTTGACTTCTTCCCCTTGAAGTGTGGGTTCATTGAGGGCAGAGATTCCTGTCTTTTGTTCATGGGAAGTTCTCAGGGCCGGGTTCAATTAAGGTGATCAATAAAAGATTCGTTACATGAAGGAAAGGAGGAAGGAAGGAATGATACGTGGTTTTGTAACTCCTGCCCTGGCAAAAGGAATAAAAGGGGTGAGGACATTTCTCCAGCCTAAACATACTCACACTCCCTGCCTGGGACAGTTGCCCAGTGGTTCCTGCCAAGGTTTGACTTCAGGCACCTGCCCCACCCCGGGTCTCCCTGTTTGCTGAAAGAACTGTGCCTGCTGGG